CCCATTTAGGCCTTTTGTTAGATAAGAGAAAAAGGTAGCACCTGTCTGTCTTTTTTCTTTCTTTCTGTTCGTGTTTATATTTTTAGGTGATTTGAATTTGAAGTTCAAACCCGTTCCAAAACCAGAACGACTCGTTCTCAATCCCAGCAGAACGGCCCATTCTCCCTCCGGAACGGCCCGTTCTCCAAACCAGAACGGCCCGTTCTGCTTCTCTAATTTTGGGCATTTTACTTATTCTGGAACGGCCCTTTTCACTTTTGAAACGGCCCGTTCCGGGCAACGAATTGGGCCTATGGCCCAATGAAAATTGGGCTGTTACAATACTCCCCTCTTTTATGAAATTTCGTCCCCGAAATTTTTGCAATGGTAGACTCCTCGCTTCTTACTTTCTAATTATTATGCAACCTCACTACCTTATCTAAGGCAAAACAAGTAAACTTGGCAAGCCTATCCACTAAAACACAAATAGAATCAACCTCTTAAGCATCTCAGACAAACCTACAATTAAGGCCTATCCACTCATCATCTTACTTCCAAAATGGGACCTCTAAGTGCTACAAAAATTCCTAAAGACTTCTAGCATACTAAACACGAGTATACAATTTCTCTACTCCTCTCTTCACCTTAGGTCACTTCACTTTCGTTGCGCTATGCTGATACATCCTCCTAAGGTCCCGATACATCTCATTAGCTCCTAAATATATATTAAGAGTACTGTTATGTCCTTCCTCTAAAATCATCTTCATTAATTCAAGGTTACTAAGCACCGAAGTTTGTTCTTGCACCTCAAAACAACGTCGATTTCTACTCATAAATGGTTATCTATACTTCTACCAATCTTCTCCACTTGGTTCCCTAAGAAAGGATCTGACTCCTAGGCTTCTCTAATCTCATCCATTAATTCACTAGTCACTTTCAACATAATCAATTCAATGCTCCTAAGGATAATCTCACACACCAAGCATAAGTCTTTAAATTCTTCAATCAAATCCAACCCTTAAATCATCAAAAATGATATATCAGAGGTCATCATAATCAAGGCATCTGCCACAATATTGGTTTTACTTCTATGATCATTTCTAAAGATCAAGCACCTAAGCGTAAGTACACTCGGTATTCATATCAGATCTCTAATTTCACCACTCCATCTACACCCAAGTCAAACTCTTATCCATCACCTTATCCTATAGCCTTATATCTTGTCACCAAAATGAATCAACTAATTATGCTTCTCCAATTTCCTTCAACAATCCATTCGTTACTCAAGTCATACTTAGTCTCACACTACTAAAGGTAACCTTATAAGCCCAACTTAAGTCTCTAATTTGAGCCAAAAGGATTCATCTCTCTAATCATAAGGGAAGATAAATATAAAGGTTTCCTACACAAAACATCGGTCACCACAATAGCTTTACACAATTAACAACTAAGTTTGAAATATTAGTCCTCCAGAATTTAAACTATCTCTTTTGTCACATAATTAACTCCTTCAGTCAACAGATAATTAAGGCTCTAATTATCAATAAATACCTCAAGTTTAGAATCATATAGGCAGTGTCTCTAAATATTACAACTGCTAACTTAAAAAAAATCATAAGTAAGGTAATTCCTCTAATGAGTTTTCAATTGCCTAGAATCATAAATTACTACCTTTCCTTCTTGCATCCAAATTCATCTTATAAGCACTACTATATACCGCAGAAGGTTTACTAAAATCCAATAATATTAACAATAGTCAATCTTTCCTTAAGAGTTAGAACTACTCTCATACTTACTATCCCACATAAAGACAATACTCCTCCTAGTGAATGTAGTTAAGGGCAATGTTATCTTAGAAATTCCTTCAATAAATCTCCAATAATAATAAGCTAACCTCATAAAACTTTTATCCTCGCTAACTGGCTTAGATATCTCCCCACTTAAACACAACTTCTACCTGAGACAGATCCATGTTTACCTCAACTAAATTTACCGGAACTAGAAAACTTATCCCATACAATAAAAAGAATAACAATAAAATAAAATAAAATAAAATAAAATGAAATAGTAATACTTAGATAACTTAACATACAACCGTCTTGGATATATCTTCACCCTCAACTACAATATGCTCATATCACACTCTAAGATCAATCTCACTAACCATACAACATTCACCAATTGATCCCTAAGGTCATCCATCCACATATCAACATACATGCATATTAAATCATATTAGAATACCTTCAAATATACCATCCATAAACATGTACATGAACAACCTTTACCACATAGCATCATACAACCTTAAACAACCTCTCGATTCACATGAAAACACCCCAAAACATCTTAACAAAATCAATTCTTATCCTTGCAATGCCTAACGATTCAAAAAATATCATGACACCATACATAACCTTTCAACAACAATCAAAGAAAATGATACCTAGAGATTTATACTCATCCAAATAATTTCAAACCTATCTAAAAAAAAAGCTGAGAGAATAAACTACAACTCTTATGAAGACATAAGTTTTCAGCATTACTCACTATTTGTATTTGTCTACTTGAAAAAGGAGAATGATTTTTATTATTATTAATTTAAATTGTATTACATTTTCCTAACACCTATTTGTAACAATCTAATCTTCGAAAATAAGGAAATAAGGAAAAATATTCTGAAAAATAAACTAGAAGATTCTACGGATATTTTCTCTAATTAAGAAGATTTTCCTCTAATTACAACACTCCCCTTCAAGTTGGTAAATGAATATCAATCATTCCCAACTTGCCTACAAGATCTTGAAATCTACCCTGAGGGAGCCCTTTTGTAAAAGTATCTGCTATCTGAAGTTCTGTAGGAACATGAGTTGTTATTACAAAGCCTCTGTCCAGATTATCTTTGATGAAATGTCTGTCAATCTCAATGTGTTTGGTCCTATCATGTTGTACTGGATTATGGGCAATGCTCATGGCAGACTTATTGTCACAGTATAGTTGCACGGGGTTGTCCACCTTGACTTTAAGGTCATCCAAAATGATTTTCATCCAGAGTCCTTCACACATTCCTTGAGCAAGGGCTCGGAATTCA